CATTCAAATCTTTCATTATGCAGTGAGATGCGGCCTTGGGAGTTGTAGGTTTGTCTTTGGGTGCATTTTAAGTGGTGGACTGATAAAAGGAAAAAGAACCTTTGTGCTGCAGCTGAATTCCATGCTTCTTACAGCATTTAAAGAGAGCTCTCTTAAGTGTATTTGCAGTAGTTATTTAAATGTTCTTCTCTCCTCTTAGCTTAGGACACCCCTTGTTGATTATGTTCCTCTTGTTTTCTCAGGTTTCGTTTTAAAGTTCTTTTCTTCTCATTCTCTTTCGCATAACGTAAGAGAAGAAAATCCCAGCAGTTTGTCCCAGTTGAAATGAAGTGTAACTAAAAGCTTAGTCTGCTCTATAGCTTGCAGATATTCCCATTGAGTATTTGATCAATTTGAGCCTTTTCTTTTGTTCAGTTGTAGTGCCTGCAGCACTTTCTGTGACTCACAGAGCTATTAAGCATCATTTTCCCCCAGCTTTAACAGTAATTTCTGAGAGGGTGGTGGACAAATGCATTTTCCTTCATCTTCTCTTCTGCAGCAGTTCTTTCTTTTTGGAGCTGTCAGTTGTATCGATAGGTTTCTGAACCTTCCTCCTGGCACTTGTTAATGAAAAGCACTGTCTTGGCAGGCTTTAAGTTGCATAAAAAATAGTAAAATTCTTTCGTCCTTTGTTTGTAAGGAAAGCAGTTGACCTTGCCCTGGGTTTTGCTAAAGGTAGTCTCATGCTTGTATCTTTGCCTTACTTTCTTTCACACTTCTCGTTTACTCCTGCTGTAACAGAGTCTCATCGGCTATACTTGATTAGTATTTCCACTTACTTACATTCATTCCTGAATTTTTATTTTTTGTTTTGCACAGAGTCACCTCTTAGGCAGAGGTTTTCCAGAATGATTTCTGGCTTTATAACAAAGAACTTGGAATTCTGAGCTAGCAAACAAGTTCTGAAGGCAGCCTTAGTTACCTTCAATTTTATTCTACTGTAGTTCAAATTGCTGTCACTGCTATTTTGAAAAAGAATTCTGCATCCAGGATATATAGAACTTGCTTTTAAGGGTTTGATATTTTCATTTTGTCTTAACTGTTCCCTAAAGTAAGCTTTTGAAATAGGTTTCAAATTTTGTAAGACTGGCTTGTATTCCTTGCTCGGCTGTGAATTCTAAGTCCATTTTAGTTGACTTGATGATGAGAAATGGTAAAGTATATGTGGGCATTTACTCCCACAAAATGGCTCCAACAGGAACTGTAGTTCTAAAAGATGTGATAAGTGAGTTGTGATACAGATTCTCATTATTTATTTGGTCTTTTTTTCCCCATATGGAGGAGAAAACAAGGAATAAGGAAAGGAGAGTAGGGCTTTTGTGCTTCATCTTTTCTCAGTGTGAATTGTTTTTTTTCCATCTGGTGCTGGACAGATACGTTTTTGTAAAAAATATCAAAACTTTCTTTAATTATTCCAGTTTAAAAACTTTGCTACATATCTGGAAATTATGCAATAGGTAACGTTCAAGGCATCATCTTGTGTAAATCTTAGCTTGTTTGAACAAGTGAGAGGTGTTCACTTGGAAGATCTGTAGCCTTACTACACTTAAAATGCTAGCTCCTGTTTTGTCAGTAGGGTAAGTTTGCTTTCAGATTGCTGAAAGGAATATTTTCTCTGATTGAAGTCACAAAATATGAAACTATAAACACATAACAAAAGGTGATAGGGCTGTTTTTATGAGCAAGAGTTGTTGCAATTTCAAAAATATTTTTGAAATAATTTGGGTGGTTTTTTATGTTTTCTTAAAATAGAAATCATAGAAAGTTCTGGGAAATTTGAATTTGGAACTCGAAAGTAGAATTAAAAATGCTGGAATACAGTGTGCTTTAAGTGCTTCAGTGTTAAAATTCTTATATAAAGCTATTGCTATACATGTAGATTGGTTTAGGTTTGTACTGCTGCTGCTGAAAGAGAAGTACTTATTTTCTCCACTCGTCACGTTTCTGCATTCTCCCTTTGTGCTTGGCCTTATAATCAGCTTGTTTAGAGAGCTGGTGGGACTGCATGCTGGCCCACACTGCCGAATTGGTACTCCCCACATTGGCAGTTAACCTGCTAGTGGCTAGATGTAGTAAAACATAAGTGAGTATATTCACATGGTTTTTCAAAGTCAGATGTGTTCTCTTGCTGCCTGCAGTTTAAAAGAAATGAGGTGCCCTTGCTCATGCTCTGAAGCAGTTGTAAAGCTTGTGCTTGTGGTCCCCAGGCAGTGAGCTGTAGGAAATAAACTATAAACTGTGCTAGCCATCATTTCCTGGTTTCTGGTTAACTTCAGTGATATGAGGTCACTATGCTTGTACTCTGCACAGAGACAGAGATCATTTACATTCGCATTCAGAGAGCATTTTCAGGGTTCTGCCAAATCCACTTGTTGCCATAGGTGTGTCTGGTTAAAACTGCTCCCTCTCACATGAAACTGAACGGTACTTTCAAGATGGACCAACATACCTCTTTTGAAAGTTGCAGTAGCAGAGTAGATCAATACTAAGAACTTAGCTTCAGTCATCAATCTCTCTTTTTAGAGATGCATACAAGTGGAAGAGAGAAAAATCTATCGATTTTCAGGAAAGGGAGCAGTATTTGCACCTTTGAGGAACGTGAATGAGTTCTGAAATTTCTGAACAAAGAGTAGCTGGTGTAAGCATGACATGTAAAGCAAATGAGTCTTTTTCAGGGAGTCTCTTAATGTAGCTAGATCCTAAATATTGCTTCCGGAGAAGGCACTAACTTTGTCACTGAAGACCAGCATTTCTAAGTTTGCATTAATTGGCCTTACAGCTGCAATTCAGATCTTAATGAGCAAGGGTGGTGAGCTCTTGGTGTCTTTTGCAGTGTAAGCAGAAGGTGTGTCTAGAATGAAATGCAAAGAATGCTGACTGCCCCTGAGTGGTAGTTAACAACTGTGGCTCCAGTGTTTGTGTGGTAGACGTGTAAGGGATTTTTTCTGCTGTAATACAACTGAGGCTGCTTGTACAAGGCTCACCGAGGCTCAAGTAAGGCTCTTGGTGAAGGTGCAAGTCTATTTTAGAGCAAATTCATCTGGAGTAAAACCAGGTGCTTATAATAGCACAGAACATGCTTTTTTTTTGAGAGAGAGACACGCTGACAGAAGGCTGTAGTAGAGTTCTCTGTTTTTTTAAGTTTTTAAGGGCAAAACATCAAGGCAGAATGAAGTTGCATTGTTATACGTTGCACTACAAGCATTACAGCTATAGTAAGCACATTCTCTCACTAGCTGGCAGAGAGATTCCATCTCCTCCCCAGAGATTTAGTTTCAAATTAGATCAAGTAGGGCTTAGTCTACCAAAGAATACAAACTTTTTCAGAGTATTACGTTATTTTTGTTGAAATTGTAGTACGTTAGAACTTGAAGGGTCAAAGAGCAGGAACTGGTCATTCAGAACCTATGTAAGCCATGGTTAATGATTATAGAATGAGTCAAACAAATTTTGTACAATAGGAGTTAAAGTAATTTGTATTACTTTAAACAACACTTCTTTTAAAAAGAGCAGTTTGAAAACACTTTTTTGCATTGAAAAAGCCTTCTGAATATTAATCTGTAAGTTAGCTTGACAAAATTTGCCTATGACATCAAGGATCCTCTTGAAGAAACTGGAGTTCTAAATGCTACCAGCATTAAATTTAATAGCTCAATTTTCTCTTTGGGAGCAGTGTTCTTTTTATTAATTAAAAAAAATTACCAGACATAGAAGAACACTGGACTTGACCAGTTGTGATCAGTTGGCGTTCTTTTATGCGAGAAGTTTTTCAAACTTGATGTTTGGTTTTGGAATTTTTTTTCCCGCTCTATCAGTGTTTTCACTTTTGCAGGGCTTGAACACTGTGTAAATGATAACAAAGAAACGTTGATTTTAATGACTTCATTGTTATTTCGCATGCATGTAATTCTTGTGGTTTATGTTTTTGCTATTGAGTTCAAAAGCGATTTGCTGAAAAGTCTGTCTATGAGGGTAAAAATATTAAGCAAGCAAAATGAATAAAAAAAGCTATTTTATTGGAATATAGGAGTTGAAGTCAGTAAAAAAGTATTCTAAATCCAATTGCAAAGCACTGAAATACTAAGATGTTGCTAGATTGCAAATGCATAATACAAATGGCAAGACATTAAAGTAGATGGTCTCTGAAATCTGTGGGACATGTGAAAATATGAAGTGGTCAATATATGTTGCACTTACACTCTTCTATAAATTTTGTGCCAGGGTTCTGATCCAGAACTATGAACAGGCCTTGTGCCTACTCTACAGCCAAACCATCTGTCCTCCTTCCTGTTTACCATTCTAATGTGGATTTTAAGGAGATCTCTAGCTTATCTTAAAAAGGGGAAAAAGTGGCTTGTGACTTAAGGAGGACTTTAAAATGTGTTTGACAGGTTGATCCCTAAGTTACAGCCTGAATTAGTAGTCTTGTTTAAGGTTTATGCTGTTACTCCACTTGCTTGTATGCAGGTGTGTGTGATCTTGTGCATTTTGTGAAGACCTTGTCCTCAGTTTTGCTGTCTGTAAAGAATACTTTTTTCTTCTAGGGAATATTTAAAATGTATTTTCATTGAAGCATAGCAGAATTAAAACATACTTTGAATTTTTGTCTTGATCTTAGAAAATGGAGACTTAAACTGAAATTCTTGCATCACGTTAAGGAAGTTGCACATGCACTTATTTGTAAAAAAGGAAGATAAAAATTAATCTGCAAACTGTCCTTTTTTTTATACTACTTGTAAACTTTTCTGTTAGTTTTTGATCTGAATTCCAGGTTGCAGTGCTTACATTGTTAAAATGGTGGAACTGTGGTAATTTTTGGTGATTATTGTTTTACTACTTGCTTTCTTAAAGGATTATTAGAATTTGTTCTATTGTGAGTAGCGAGTTCTGTAGATAATACTGCATGCCTATTTACAGGCTTTTTTCATCTTCAGGACTAATGGCAAGGGAGTAAAACCAATATGGCAGCTATGATCCCACCTGTGAAGCTGAAATGGCTTGAACATCTGAACAGCTCCTGGATCACAGAAGACAGCGAATCTATTGCAACAAGGGAGGGAGTTTCTGTCTTGTATGCTAAGTTAGTCAGCAATAAAGAAGTAGTGCCATTGCCCCAGCAGGTTCTGTGCCTCAAAGGACCTCAGTTACCAGATTTTGAGCGGGAATCTTTATCTAGCGATGAGCAGGACCACTACTTGGATGCCCTTCTTAGCAGCCAGCTGGCCCTGGCGAAGATGGTATGCTCGGACTCACCGTTTGCTGGAGCACTTCGAAAACGTCTCCTTGTGTTGCAGCGTGTCTTCTATGCACTTTCTAATAAATATCACGATAAGGGGAAGGTGAAACAACAGCAGCATTCCCCAGAAAGCAGTTCCGGATCAACAGATGTGCATTCTGTCAGTGAGCGTCCCAGGTCGAGTACAGATGCACTCATAGAAATGGGGGTTCGGACTGGATTAAGCTTGTTATTTGCACTGCTAAGACAAAGTTGGATGATGCCCACGTCAGGACCTGGCCTCAGCCTTTGCAATGATGTTATCCATACTGCAATAGAAGTTGTGAGCTCTTTACCACCTTTATCTTTAGCAAATGAAAGCAAGATTCCACCAATGGGGTTGGACTGCTTATCACAAGTAACAACTTTTCTTAAAGGAGTAACAATTCCAAACTCTGGGGCAGACACTTTAGGTCGTAGGCTAGCTTCTGAATTGCTTCTTGGTTTGGCTGCCCAACGAGGTTCCTTGAGATATCTTCTGGAATGGATAGAAATGGCTTTAGGTGCTTCAGCTGTAGTGAACACCATGGAGAAAAACAAGTTGCTGCAAAGCCCAGAAGGGATGATCAGCTTTGATTGCTTCATGAGTATACTGACACAGATGCGACGGTCCTTGGTAAGTATACCAGCTTTCATTTTTCTATATTGCAAATGTAGGTGCATGCTTAACTTCAGTTTCTCAACACTGAACGGAAGTTTGCTGAACAGTTTGTGTCATATGTTAAAAAAGTTGAGGGTTTGGTTGTTTTGTTTTTTTTTTTAATTTTTGAAAACTATTTAAATTTTGAAAACTATGTTTGAAAAAACAAACCAATCCCCGCGTTGTCACTTTTGGTGTTGTGCTCTAAGTTCAGAGAATACACATCCTTGGAGAATCAGTAAAATTTAAGATGTTTAGTGTTTTTGCTACTGCTTAGAAATTAGTGCGGTAAGAAAATGAGCTAAACTGTTTGTAAGTGCAGCACACTGCTTTGTATGTTGAGTGCTTACTTCTGGTCTTAGTTGAATATTCTTTTCTGAACTGTGAAATTATTGCGCAATATGCAACCAGAAGCTGTAGCAAGCTTCTGCCTCATACTCAGAGTGAAACAGGGAATGACATTTTCCCTGAAGTGGTCATTCTTCTCTGTCCTAGCAGGCTTGTAATGCTTGGTAGTAAACTTACATTTTAAAAATTAAAAAATTTCTGAAATGGAGAGCATGAGAAGAGTGTGGCAGTGTCAGGATCTGAAGTGGATTGAATGTCTTGAGGGGCAACTTTGTCAGTTTTGGACTAGATGGAAAGTTAGAGACTAAAATATGGAAGTTATGTAAGCACAAAAATAATTATGAATAGTAATTTTAAAATAGTAATCACTTTAAACATAAATGACATGCATTTTAGAACAAAACAATATTAATATTAGGCAAAATGAACTCTAAGTCCAGATATTTTCACAAAACTTAATAAATAAGAATGTTTAACTAGCACTTCTGAAATTTTTGTTATCCTGAAGTGTATGCAGATACCACAGCTTAGGAGAGAAAGGTAGTTTACTTATGCTTATAGAAAGAACTCTTAATTTTGCTAAAATTAACTATAAGAACAAATCCCTAATGTATTTTGTACAGGTGCACTGTTGCTATATGAAAGTATTTTTCTCATCATGACAACACTTAAAAATTGCAGGGATCATCTGCGGATCGAAGTCAATGGAGAGAGCCAACTAGGACATCTGATGGCTTATGTTCCCTTTACGAGGCAGCTCTGTGTTTATTTGAAGAGGTATGTCTTGAAATGAGCCTTGACTTTCAGCTAATTGCAATTTACATGCCCCTCAGGTATCTCATTGCTGTGGGTATGGTCCCATCTCTGATGAGTTATTCTAGGAGCAGACACTGTAAAAACACGCTGTTAACTTCAGAAGTGCAGTTAGTTAGAAGAGTCTTAGCTGAAAAGCAAAATCACTGAACAGAATTTTTCTGTTCTAACTCAAACCGGGACATCAGAATGGAAGAGGAAAGCAAAAAAAAGTAGTGAAAAAGTAAGATGTAGAGAAAAAGTAATTTGAGCAAGCTAATGATACGCTGTTGGATGATTTGTGTGTTTGTGAGAGAATCGTATTGAGGGGAATTCCCATTAAAGTTGCATTGAACATTATGACTACATGAAAATAAAAGAAACTGTATAATAAATATAATAAACTGTATAATAAATCTCATATTTTAATAGGTTTGTCGAATGGCATCAGACTATTCAAGAACATGTGCCAGCCCTGACAGCATTCAAACAGGTGATGCTCCCATTGTTTCTGAGACCTGTGAAGTGTATGTTTGGGGTAGCAACAGCAGTCATCAACTGGTAGAAGGAACTCAAGAGAAAATACTTCAACCCAAGCTTGCTCCAAGTTTTTCTGATGCACAGACGGTGAGTGACATTTATAGTAATTAATAGTTACATTATGTAACATTCGACAGCTTCATAGTTATAGTAGGAAATTGGAAAACAGTATTTTTGAGTGTCAAGTTGTAATGAAGATATGATGCTCAGAACTGATGACACCAAGATTTTACTGAAAGTATCTCACTACTTTTATTGATACCTGGAAAAAGCATTCTGTTTCATTTTTAATGGCACACACAGATCAATATCCATGTAACAAGAACGACTGAATCACCTAACTTGCTCTGAAATGCATTTGCAGAGACACATTTGTTTGGCTGTAGTTTTGTTGTGTTTTTTGTTGTTGTTTTTTTTTTTTTCTTTGCTGTTGTTTAAAAGGTATCTTAACTACTCAAGTTCCTTTTCTATTGGTGGTTTTCACACCAAGGTTGCCTAGTTTAAAAGTCCAAAACAGGCTAAGTGCTGGCATAGCAACCTTAATTGGCTTTCTGAAGCTCAATATACAGTATGCTTTTTCTGCCTCCATCACAAATCCTGCACTTGCAACTGAGCACATCTGCTGATGCATGACAGAGAATATAATAGCTTACTTTCCTGTTACTGTATTGGCTTTGCAGTATTGACTTAAGTAAAAGCATTTTTTTTTTTTGTCTTGAGACAGTCTAGGTACGTTTTCTGAAATTGTTTCTATTGACATCACTGGTACACTTGATATGTCAATGGGCTGCAGGACCAGGCATCATAAAGCAAGCTTATGCGTTTAGAAAACTTTAAGTGAACTGAATGAATGGGTTACTCTTTAAAGAGTACTGTGTACACTGTGCAACATATTTATGTGATTTCCTACTGGGATGGAGTTTTTTCTTTATATTCATTGATGGCCTTTGTCTATCTGGAGAAGTCACTCACAGTAAATAGGGCTGTCACTGTGCAGTCCACCACCTGCCTTGTGCCATTTTATGATGTGGACTGACAGTGCCTTTATGCTTCAGACTCGAACCTGCTTTGCTCTTAGACTGTGTTGAGATTCTGCAGGCTTAGTTGGTTTACTTATAGGTCGTTCTTCGGCTGTGCACTGACTTCGCAATAGAGGCAAGTTCTTACTTTATTAAAAGCTTGTTATTTTATTTCTTTGGTGTTTATGTGACTAAAATGCATAGGCATTTGGCATATTTCTGTAATTTTACCACTTGGTACTGGTTAAAATTAAGCAAAACCTACAGTCCTTTATCAAGCTGTTACTTTGTTGTCTTCTTCTTAAGAAATAAAGCTATCTTCAAAGACTGTCCATTTCTGCCCATGAGCCTTGGAGATCTGAAGGCAGCCTGAGTTCCATAGTCTCTAGAAGAGATGCAAATAAATAAAATTAATTAATCAGTATTTACATTGTTTACCACAAGAAGAGAGATTTACTCAAACTGTTTTTCAAGACTTTGAATTTTGCTGCTTGCTGTAGTCCAAATTCTCCTTATTTTTTATGTTGCCTTACATGAAAGTGTTATGTAAAGAAACCTGACGTTCTGTTTGGAAGTACAGACTTCTAGATCTCTATGTGAATTTTACAGCCATCTAATCTTTCTTTTTTACTGTTTTAACTTGTTTCTTTATAGATTGAAGCTGGACAATATTGTACGTTTGTTATTTCTACGGATGGTTCTGTTAGAGCCTGTGGTAAAGGCAGCTATGGGAGACTAGGACTGGGTGACTCCAATAATCAGTCCACATTGAAAAAATTGACTTTTGAGCCTCACAGATCTATTAAAAAAGTGTCATCTTCAAAAGGATCTGATGGTCACACTTTAGCATTTACAACAGAAGGGGAAGTCTTCAGCTGGGGTGATGGTGACTATGGAAAACTGGGACATGGAAACAGTTCAACTCAGAAATATCCCAAACTTATTCAGGGCCCTCTGCAAGGAAAGGTATGTTTTGTGTAGTAGAACACCTTTTTTTTTATCTGTTCAGTTGTGGTGATGTGTAAAATTTGAAATATATGAAAACTGAAGAAAAAGTTCTGTGTTTTTTTCTGAACTTTTCTTTGAATCTGGATCTGGTTTCAGCAAAGCACTGAAATGTGTTATTGGCTTTAGGCATGTGATTTGGACAATGACACTGTCAGTAAACCTTCTTATGGTTTTTAAACTTGCTGATGTGCTTTTGCTGAACTGTGGTGACTTTCCAGGAGATGGTTGCTTATGTTAGCTGTAACATTAGGAGTTCTCATGTACAACTTCTTAGTGGTTTAATTTGAAAAGTGACTTTGTATTGTCCTATGAGGCCTCCTCTTCCTTGTCTGTCTATATTTTGGCCAGTGTTTTAAACAGCCACTGATGCTTCTTTTTGCTGATACTGGACTAGGATATCATTAAGTTAAATTTACTTAATTAATAGTTCATGACCAATTTTGTATATAAACGTGTCTCTGTGTACTAATTTCCACTTATCACATACTAAATAGAAAAGATTGCAAAGGTTAGTTCGTGTGTACTTGTTCCATATGAGTGAGCAGCTGATTTACATAAACCACTTCTGGAACTGGACTTTCTTAAGCTTTCAGACTTTCTATTCAATTTATGTAAAAGCTTGGTTTTTATTTTTGCCTATAACATAGGTTGTTGTGTGTGTATCAGCTGGATACAGGCATAGCGCTGCTGTTACTGAAGATGGAGAGCTGTATACGTGGGGAGAAGGAGACTTTGGAAGATTAGGTAATTTTTAGATTTCATGAACGCTTTTGGAAGAATTCCTGTGATAATGATACCATACATGTATTTGCCTTGTTCTCTTATTGTCCATTCCAAATACACACAGACATGCACACAGGGGTGTGTATATAGGTGACTGTATTGAAATTAATGCAGAGACTCTTTAAAGATTTTAATGCAGTAAATTTTGCAAAGATTTGAACCAACAGACTGCATAGAAAGTTGCCTCAGATTGGGCTTTAGTTCCTTTCTGCTGTCTTTGATTTGAGTGTCAGGATCGCCAAGTAGAGGGGTGAAAGCAAGTAACTGACAGGGGCAGAAGATTAGGACAGTGTTTTACAGCTTAAACTGTCACAGTTTTTCAAGGTAATCAGTAAAAGTGCTGAGCCTATCCCTGCTGTTAAGAAACGAACACTGAGTTAGACATTTATCCTACATTTTTGGGGGGAATTGAGAAAAGGTTCTCATTGAGTTTTAGGTTAATGTAGGGGGTTTATGTGCTTTGGGGAGCTTGGAGTTTGCAATGCTGAGTTCCAGTGGGCAGCTAAAAAGTAGCATTTAATAAGGTCATAGTAACTTGTTCACAATCACTTCGGGATACTGTGTATTACTCTTCTCCCTCTGTTCCCCATTTTTCTTCAGTATCTGCAGAATTTCTATAGTTTATTAGACATGTAACTCATGCTTATTATGAAATATGTGATACTGTAATGTATTTGGCTACTGCAGAAGGGACCGGTTAGGACTGTGACTAAAACTAACTGGTTTGCTGGTTTTATTGGTCTGTGCAGTATACATGTTTATATTCATAGTAGTAAGAGTGTGCTGTTGTTTTATTTTCCTCACACTGTTCAGGCTACCTACTGCCCAGTATTAAGGAAGTAGAGCTACCTAATGAACTAAGTATTAAACGCAGGTTTAACCTTTTTTTCTATTTTTAAACTAGGTAGAAAATGGTCCTATGGTTTAGTGGCAGTAACGTATAAACAAGCATTCTGGTTGTATGTCTTACAAAAATGAAATGCTTGTTAACTGTACTGCAGAACTCTTCCAAACCCTATTACACATCTTTCCAAAAAGTAGGCAGGAATTCGCATTTGTGCTGATTACAACATGTAAGGGTTTCGCAAATCTCACTGAAATTACACACCATAAATAGAACTTAAATCTTCACAAAAAGAAAATAATTTTTTTTTTCCTTAGGTCATGGTGACAGCAACAGCCGCAATATTCCAACTTTAGTAAAAGATATTAGCAATGTAGGAGAGGTTTCCTGTGGCAGTTCACACACAATAGCTCTGTCCAAAGATGGGAGAACAGTATGGTCGTTTGGAGGAGGAGACAATGGTAGGTAAAATGAACATTTGGTAGTAATTTTTGTCTCATTCCATCTACCTCATAGCCTCTGTACTCCTTACAGTTGTTTAGTGTTTTTTGTTGTTGGTTTGTTTGTTTCACTGTCATTTGGTGGCTGTTGAAGAAAAGGATTTTAGTAAAATCTAAATTCAGTATTTGAAGTTTTAACTGCAAGACTTAGGCTCTAAAGAAGAATTATTGGGAGAGAAGTTTCAACAGAGCAGAAAGCTCAATGAATGCATAAGCAATTCTGGAAAAATGCTTTGTTGATAACTTTCAAATAAACTGACTCGTTTGATATAGCAATGACTGTATTTGTGCACTAGCAACTGTTGCTTTTAAGCTGCCTCTTGAAGAAACATCTCATATCAAAAATGAAGGGCTTTAACTTTCATTGCAGGTAGATGCTTTGTCAAACACAGAGTTCTATTGTTACAGTATTTAGCTAAATTTGATTATGCTGCTAGATAAAAATTAAAGCTCAGATTAGAATTGCTGTATTATTACTTCCTAGTGTAGTATGAGAAGAGACAGAAATGTGGACTACAGAAATCTCATAACCAAACTGACAGTTAATAGAAGTGGGCAGGAATTTGGATTTCATTTGGAAGCTAGCTCTGACATGCACATAGAGAATTAGTCGCACTCCTCTGTCTCCCTTTTCCTGTCATTTCAGTTCAAAGATCACTTTTAACAGGACAGGTACCTTAACAATCACAAACTACTGGAGCTTGCTCTTCTGTTTCAGTAAATTGCAAACAGTTTGGCTTTTGGATATGAATAATGTGGTACTAAAATATTGGTGTAGGACAGCTAGAAGAACATGAAACAGAGCATAACTTTGCGTAAATTTTCAGTCTTTGTAATACATTTGATTTTGTTTTTTTCCTTCCATTTGAGGAATGCTTTTCTGACAACACACTGACATGGTCTAGTAACGGTATTTGTTTTTGAGGACATTGAAAATTATGAAGTCATGAAGATTAATAGCTGTTGTCAAGAGACACTTGAAGGAGCAACAAGGGAATAAAAATATTAATAATTACACAAATGCACACAGCTGTTAGGTAAAAATGTAGAAGAGTTGGTGTTTTTCCAAGTCACTTCATAAAGTATGTTTTTTTGCCAAATATGAAAAGGTTTAGTGCTTTAGAAGTCTTTAGTAATTAAACAGCATGCAATGAATAGTGTAGATATATGGAATTAATATTTCTATTTTAAAGTACACTGTAATAAAAATGTGTTTCCTGAAATATTTAAATTGAAATATAATAGGTTTTATAAAAATTGCAATATGTTGTAATTTTAAAAATACACTCTGACATTTTTGGAAATCCAAAAAGAATTCTTTTGGAGATAATTCTAATTATCCTAATTTATGTATTGAAAATACCTTCCAATTGTGTTGTCTCCTTTTGCAGGCAAACTTGGTCATGGTGATACAAATAGAGTATATAAACCTAAAGTTATAGAAGCCTTGCAAGGAATGTTTATTCGAAAAGTTTGTGCTGGGAGCCAGTCTTCACTTGCCTTGACATCAACAGGGCAGGTAGGCAAAAACAAGTTTTCACTGAAATGGTGAGAGCTGGTGAGTGTGATGTGGGTTCATTACTTCAGCATTTATTATTTTGACTGTTGAGATGATGTTCAACTAGTACTTAATTATCAGTAAAGTTTTTGATCAGAGATTGACTGAAGTACTGAGATCCTAATGCACCAGAGTAATAAAAAATGTGCTAAAGGGTTGTGTAAAAGTACACTTGTCAAGATTCTTGCTTAGCAACAGAAAAAAATTATTCTTAGGTTAATAAATATAACCCATGCAAAATCATATGGGTTCAGGAGGCAAAGCGGGTTCTGGAAGCAAAAAGCAGTGAAATGCTTGTAATTTTTAATGCATTAACCAAATCCAGTGGTTAAGTGGTTTACTATTTTTTTTTTTTTTCAAATGTATGTGTATTTTAGAATATAGGTATTTAACAGAAAGTTTTATATCTAATGTGAAAAATATCAGGAGACCTTGGAGATAAGTGTTGAGATGGTAGATGAAGGCCCTTACAGACATGATATATATACACATAATACAATAAGCATTTCTACATATGCAGCCTAACTGACAGCACCACCCCTCCACACCACACACCCCTCCCCCACACCAATTCAAAGGCAGTGAGTTTTTAAAGTACGGATTAGGAATGTTGAAGTTTACTGTAGCAGTTTCATTCCTTGCAGCAGCCTCCCCACTGACATGCTCTGTGGCTGGTCATCTGAGTGGTTGGGGGAAGAAATGTAGATGATGTGAAATGTACGTTAGAGTCATTAAAGTACCGTTCACGTTTTGTTGAAAGCATTATTGCAATTATTGTGCAAGTTACCTGGTATTTTGTTCATGGTCTGCGGTAATAAAAGAGTGAGACGGTGCTATTTTGTGGTTGGTTTGCTCTAGGTTTACGCATGGGGCTGCGGTGCGTGCCTTGGCTGTGGCTCGTCAGAGGCGACTGCTCTCCGGCCCAAGCTGATTGAAGAGCTGGCCGCAACGAGAATAGTTGATATTTCGATTGGCGACAGTCACTGTTTGGCACTTTCTCATGGTAAAAAGAGTAAGGTGTAAAAATACATGATCCTCCTCTTGATCAAAAGCACTTGTACCTCAGGTTTTATTTTCTACTTTATTTATCTTTATAGATAATGAAGTTTATGCTTGGGGTAACAATTCAATGGGACAATGTGGTCAGGGAAACTCTACTGGTCCCATTACTAAACCGAAGAAAGTAAGTGGTTTAGATGGAGTTGCAATTCAACAAATTTCAGCAG